CATACCTCCGCGCAGCTAAGTTCCGCATTAAAATTCAGTTAAAGTCCACTTGAAATTGATAGGAAATAATTTCGTTCTTCATTTGATCGTGAGAAATTCAGCTCGCGAAGAACCCGGCTTTCCCGATCGCGTGTGTCTCGGAGACTACTGGTGTCTTCGCTGAAAAATAATATATATATGTTCTTGACGTTACAAGCGATAAGATAATTAACATATGATGATATTGTAGATATAAAAATAATAATAAATTAAAGGGAAATGGGTATCATTTTCAGTCACTGAGTCGAAATTTTAATGCTGCTTTAACGTTCCCAAGGATAATTTGCGTTTTTGTTTACAAATGGTCTATAGAAACCATAGTGAAAACATACTTTGGCGATTCTGACACTTAACTTTTCTTTTGAACTTTTAATTCGACACATTTAATTTTAACATATTCATTACCGTTTTTCGATTTTCCGACTTGCAATTCACGCCGCGTGTATTGAAAACGGTACACGATGTGAAGCTTGTTATAATTATTTGTTTTATGGTTTTCCGTGAATTGAAAAGTTATTTATCATAAAAGTGAATATTCAAATTATGAAATGCACGGTAGAACAAAACGCAAGTTTATTTCAGAACTAAAAATTGAGAGTAATAAACAGGATATTGTAGAATAAAACAGAACACGCTAAAAAAACTAGAGTTTATTATAAAACAAATAAAATATAACTTTTTCGAACATTTTGCGTTTATGATTGAATGGTACGATAAATTTTGTTGAAACAGTCCATACACAGGTTTGTTGAGGCACTTCCTCACAAAATGTTGTTACTCTTTTTGTTTTAGTCCGGTACCTAAATTTCTACAATTTTATGTAGCACAACAATTAAACACTCGTGACAACGAATGTCGGATCCGAAATCAGATCATAACAACTAAAAACTCATTACTACGCCGCACGTACCGAAATCGGTTTACGGCTTTAAAAGTGTCCCAAACACCGTACGAACGGGTGCTAAGACAAATTATTTTACTGTACTTTGTCTCTTAATGACAAAAATATCGGTTGGTGTGGAGATCGAGTTCAGCGTGCACCGAAAACGGTACGCGTGGCACTGAATACATTAATGCTACCTTGAAGTTATAAACGCTCTCGATATTTCAATGATTAAAATCGTACGAGTATTCAAAACAATTTATTTCGACATTAAAAACAGTACAAATCGAAATTTAAGACATCATCATATGGCCGAAATAAGAGTAAATAATATCATTAGAATTGGACCGATTTTGTTATTCTCTTGGCTTCTACCGTGTTGTAGAATTCAAGGTTTAACATAGAACTGAAATTTCGAAACTCGGGTCTCCGGGAGACCGTCTTCTCGTTGTTGTACCGTTCATCTGCACGTGCCGCATCGCAGGCTGCTATCCGTAACAGTTAGTAACGGTGCGGCCCGCCCTTATTTTTAGCCCGCACGCGCTCTCTATACGGGGAGTTTGATAACAGAAATATAATTATCGGATGACCACAAAGTGCAGGAGACCTACATTAACGCGCAGTTTGTGTGTATAACCGGATTCGCAGGCGCGAGGAACTTTATCCGATATCGCAGCTTTTGTTGTTTGCGAGCAAACGTTCGTCGCGTTTCACTAGCAGCTGCGGCTAATGTTAACGCGCGAACTTTTGTTCGCGTTTTTAAGCGCGATCTCGAGCCCAGATTTTGCTCTTTTTTTCTTTCTTTAATAACGTTTTATATATAATCGTTTAATAATAGTCGTTACTTGAATCTTGCCTCAAATGAGATACCCGCGTTTAAATTTAGAGAGACATAAGTTTCTCAGCTGAATCGCCTGCACATAAACGCCAAGTCAAATATATTGCATAATTCAAATTAAAAGAACCTCAAATTTTACTCTGCAAACTCAGATGTACAGAGCGGTTTTTGACGATACCGATGACGAATTTCAAATTAAATAAAAAAAAAAATGTTTGTTGTAAAGCCAAAATTGGCGGTTACTATAACAGATTTTAATTGAAATCTGATGTTTGCAATAAATTTAGTTTTTTTAAACTATCTATATATTACATTTAATTCATTGTTATACATTAATATAATGCTGCTGTCAAGTTCCTCCCTCTCGTCGTTCTCGTGTTCGCTCTTACATTCCCCGATAGCTAGTCAATTTCTCGAAATTCTGTGGACATTTCTCGTACATAAATCTATTGATATTGCCTATTCACGATACCTCATTGTATCAAATAAAGTGCTCCTTGACTTCGCATGACTCCGATGAGAGTCGCAGACAAGATAGTAAATCGCTGCTCGTCTTAAGTTCAACATCAAGATGACGGACTGTTTCATTGACTACGGGGCATCCGAAGATGAACTTAAGACGATCTTAAATATAAGAATCGGTACTATGAATAGCGGCCTAAGAATGTGAGATATTAATGCGTTCTCAATGCTACTCGTATGGCTGCGACGGTCTCGATGGCAAGTGTCGACAGTGTTAAGTAATCTCGCGACTATCGATCCCGACGAAAGTCGAGTGCGCCGGTAACCGTTCTCTCAGTTTCGTCTCTCGTGTATTTGCAGATAAGAAAGGTTACCCCGTACATACTTTATAGACGTGTACACGTGCTCCGCGACGCTACGTATATTGTAACATCTCCGGGGCTATGAATTATTTGGCCGATCGATAATTTATGCGAAAGAACGTCTCGTCCCGTCTCACGGCGGTAAGATATTGCGGCTGGTCGCGGGAATAATATCGTCACGTGTGTGTATGTACGTCCCCTCCCCCTTTACCCCACCGTGGGTGGGCCGGTGGATGGAAGGTTCACGAATTGGCGCGAAATGAATCGATACGACGCAGGGCGAAATTCAGCAACAATAACCGTCGTGTGGACGTGCCGACTAATAAGAATGCTAGGACCGACCGAGCGCCTCGGGAAAATAGTGCAACAAGTGCGGTTGCAGCAGCGACAGCTGCGACGGTGCAGCCGTGGCGGCGTGAACGCACCCCGCTGGTATTATATTAGAAATCCGGCCGCATTATCTCGCGGAGTTTATTTCGCCGGCGAGCTCTGTTTTCTTGGCCTCCTCGCGTACAATATTGCCGTGCGTATCGTGCGTGTTTACGTTCACCTGCGCATACCATTCGCGACGGATCTTCTTATCGGCGAGCTCGCGTTATGTGCCGCGTTAATTCCGAACGAAATTCTCCGGCGCTGATTCTTTTCTTTGTGTCACAAATTGGGACAAAGTCAGAGTTACATATAATTAAGTAGTACTTCTGTCACATTTGAGATATGAATTAATTAAAATTTTATCATACATATTTGAAAAAAAATCGTATATACGATTAGAATTCAAAATGTTCAAACTTTCTCATAAAATAATTGTTATGTATTCAACACCTGTGTATTATGATAATTTATTAATTTATTTTCACAATGAGGTTTACTTGGTCACTAATTGGGACATTCGTTTTATACATTTTTAACATCAAAAGTGATAAAATCAGTGACAAATAATGACAGTTATAGGTATAAAAATAAAAACAATTAAAGGATAAAGTAAAGAAAGCCGCATGGTTCATGGGAAAGTCCTAGTGAAATTAGTTTGGCGTGTAACGTGTTAATATCGGTCGTATCATTTACAGTGCCTGAGTCGAGATTTTGCTTTAACACTATTAAGAATAGTTTTACTATTTACGTACTTAGATGGCTTATAGGTTATTAAAATTCTATTTGTCTATTAAGCCTATTAAAATTCTACTTTGACGATACTACACTTGTTAACTTCTCTCTTGAACATTTAATCTTACAGATTTAATTTTAATGCTATTTTTAAGCTATAAATGCTCTCGATATTTCGATTATTAAGCTCGCATAGCTTCTACTGTATTTTAGAATTAAAGATTTAATATTGAGCTAAACTTTCGACTCGGGGAAAATAATAATTATGACGTTTCCTCCCGAGTCGAAATTCGACGCTTTCGTGGTAATTTGCGGCCTTCTCGGAAAGCCTACAGACTAATAAACATTTATTTTGACGATACCGATACTTCTTAACTCCTCTTTGAAACTTTACTTCTGCAAATTTAATCACAGTGCTATCTTCAGCAATTTTGACGCTAAAACAGCGGAAAGGGAAATTTGAGACTTCATTATTGCCAAAGTAGAAGTAAATCATATCATTAGGGTTGAACTTATTCTTTGCTACCTTAGCTCCTATTGTATTGAATTAAAGGTTTAAAAAAGGTTTAACAGCAGAATTTCGACGCGGGTAAGCAGCTCGGTGTGACCTCGTGACCCTTTGTATTTTGGGCGTGAGAGAGCGTAACGCAGAATTGTTGTCTCTGCACGCATGCCCGCACGGTGGCGCGTGAATGAACCGGTGGATTGAAAATATAAACTGATTGAAAATATAAACCGATAACGCTCTCTAAACAGATTTCCGTAAGTAGACATTTATCGGTGCGAATTCAGATAGCGCGAAGTGGGGGTGGAACAGAAGAGGGGGAGAGTAAATTTCTAAAGGGATTTATAGAAGAAAGATGGTTGCGGCGGTAGGTGGTAACAGCTGTTTCGCGTTCAATATACGCACCGAAGCGTGATCGCTTTGTCAAATTTTCACACAGTAACATTTGAAGCGTCGCTTCGCTTTATTCGGAAAATCGATCGGTACCATTTCCATTGGCTTCACGTACACGGCAGGAAGCTTTTAACTTTCCGCGCGCGCACACACACATACACGCACGCACGCACCCACACACACACACACACACGCACGCGTACATGTAACTCGCGTAGTTTTACGGACGCATTATATCGGACTCTCGCGCGATATGTATAAATAAATCGATAAATTCGCCAGTCGTATATCCTATAAATCCATGTGGAAATGCGCTCCAGATACCCGGAGCAACGTCCCGACGTTGAGCGCTTCGATGTTGGAATGATGCGAACGAACGGAATCTCTGAGAGGAAATGTTAATTCTGCTTTCAGTGCCGATGGGAATTACGAGGTGACCATCATGACCAAAGCCATTTTGCACCACACCGGGAAAGTCGTTTGGAAGCCACCGGCGATCTATAAATCATTTTGCGAGATCGACGTGGAGTACTTCCCCTTTGACCAGCAGACATGCGTTATGAAGTTTGGTTCGTGGACTTACGACGGTTACACGGTAAGCGGCGTACCCACAAACGCATTTAGTCCCGGTTAATCAATTAGCGGGGATAAATCACGCGCGAGATATCGCGTGGGGGCCGCCTCAAATATTTGCCCGATCCTTTCCCCTTCGCGGTATCGACGGCCGCTCCGAATTTGCGCTACTCTTTTCCGCGCGATCCTACAAAAATATTTGGCCAAGATTTTCATACGCGATATAAGGAGCTTCGGAATTTGTAATTCTCGCTTATACTGCGCGGGGAAGGGAGATGAGATTTATTCGGGACGTTCTATGCTAATTTATCGCTCGAACACATTGCGGGCCCAAATGACACAATATGAATATCGTAAGTGCATGTATCCCCCGGGAGGCGTTTCGTGAATTCTTCGTTGCGGTATGCCCCGACTATAAAAATTCTCCCTTTATGAAATATATCCCCCTCCTCCTCCCCCCTCCCCAACCCACACACCGACACGTGTGGGATGCGTGGCGAGGTATAAGTCCGACGATTTAAATGATATTACGCTCTCGATATTCGCGTCAGATTAGATCCGCGTATAGGGGAGACCGGGGTTGTTCGGCACACTTTTTATATTTCATTTCTTTTTTTCCTATACAGAGCATCTTGTGCCTATCTTTGGTATAACTCGAAATTATAGTTCTTTGGCAACATAAAAGAATATATACTGAAAGGTTTGCGAGTAAACTTATAGAAGAAATCGGTTTTATTTTCGAGGATGTCGAGCGTGCCAACTGGCCTCGTCAATGGGGTACATTGGTTACACCAAGAAAAATATGGTTTGATTCAATTAAATGTTGACGTTATGGTAACATGTTAACTTACCTCTGTAGCCAAGTAGCCCCGGTTTCCCCTGCGCGCGTGAAGCGAATTATATATTCGTACTCCCATTATCGTGCCAACCCCTGCCCTCTCCCCTCTCCCCCGCGGATGGAATTTTCCTGGTGCTCCAATTTCGCAGGAATGTGCCAACGGGGTGGCCATTGGCGTCGATGAGACGTCACGACTCGCCGATTTTAACTCACGCGCGCGTCCCTTTCGCATTTTCTTTCGCGCTCAGTTTGATGGCCGACTCGCACGTGCGCGATGGATATATCCGTCACTGACAAATCCGTCCTGTCTATGAGTTTTACCGCCGTACAGCGGCTTGCGGATATAAATTCCGCGTCTGCGGTGGGTAAGCTATTTCGACCGACAGATAGAGAGAGAGAGAGAGAGAGAGAGAGAGAGGATCGGTCCAGTGGCTACTTCGAAAAAACACCGCTGCCATATCAACCTCGTATCCACCTGCGCGGCGGATAACTTCCGTTTCCGTGCTTCGATTTCAATTTCCCCGTCGGCGTGTCTGGCGGCCGCGTCGAGCATTTTCCAGCGCTAGAGGAAGCCGTACTTGAACCCACGTGCTCTCGACCCTGCTGAAATTCTAAACTCCGGCTTGCGTTTAGATCTCTTTAATGACCAGATGGACGGACGGTGCGAATTTCAATTGACCCTACGATAGTCCGACGATGGAGATGAGAAGATTCCGAAGGTGAAATATTTCGTAGAAAAAAGAAACAAAGAGAGAGAGAGGGACAGAAAGAGAGAGAGAGAGAGGGGGGTGGAAAGGGGAGAGAAAAAGGAGACGGCAAACGTGGCGGAAGAATTCACGAAAAGAGAGACACGCCGAAGGAGCAACGATCGCTCACGCCGAATTATCGACAGATCTAAGGAGTGGCTCGGAGAGGATCAGCCAGCGACCGTCGGAACTCCAATGGCCGCGATTTGGCTCTCCAGACTTTATTCCGATTCCGTGGTCCGCCGGCTTTGAGATAGCCAGAACCTATCCGCCATTAGAGGTATCCAATTTCTTCCGTTTGCTCCTTCCACTCTTCCTCTTTCCACTCTACTCCTCCTTCCCTGCCTCCTCTCTCTCTCTCTCTCTATCTTTTCTTCTGTTTTAAACAATCACGCAGCCCGAGAAACGATCGTGGCGAGGGATGAAATGGATTTGGGCGGTGTCGCGCCCGCTCGCAGTAGATCGAGACAGAGCCCCGGCGCGAAGCGAAAGCATACACGAAGTGTCCCAGGCGTCGCGTTCTTTCCTCTCGGCCGTGGAGAGCGCCGCCGAAATCCAACGTGTGGTCCACGAGGTGTTATTTATCGCGAGAGACTAAATCAGAAATGTCTCCGAGTGGGAGTCGCGCGGCCCATAAATTTCCAGACGCGGCGGCTTAAACCGCAATGACGATTCCGGCCTGCGAGGTGTCGCCTTCTTCCTCTTCTCCTTCCCTTTCCGGCTCGAACGGCGTGAAACTGTCTCCTCGCGTGTCCCCACGCGCCGGGTGTCTGCGTGAGACTTGGAAACAATGCGAGTCGCTGGCGGGGGACTTTACTCTTCGAGAGATATCGTCTCGAAGTTCTGTCTGCCCGTTTAAGACCGGATTCACACCGGTGGCGGACAAGCAGCTGTCAATCCTCCGTCAAAACATTGTTCGATGCTTAAAGTAATTCAATTCTTCAAGTTTTCAATTCCTAAGTAGTTTCATCGCAGAGCATAAGCATTTTCTCAGGGATCCTTTGACGTTTTAACCGCACATTGATGGAAATACCATCCACACGTTCGTAAAGTTAGAAGGCCGTTGACCGTTCGGAAACTAGGATATTCTCAACTAAAGTTGACACTTTTTATAGAGGAAAAGCACCAAAACTGACGTATGCATGGAAAGTCTACATACTCATGTTTCTCGGCTATAAAGTACCGAACTCTGTCGTGCAATATATGAACAGTAACATGAACTTCGTGTACTGCATGCAATAGGTGGAGCTGAAGTGGCAGTTTCTGTTTGCAAGCGCGTTTGGCCATGTTATTAACGTTAGTTGATTTTACGACTTGTTGAAATTTTCTTACCTTTTTGTAAACTGTAAATAACACATCAACGTATTAAGTAATTATTTGTTGGACAATACTATTTTATAGTGTTTTTTTATAGTGTATTTTATAGTGTAAGTTTTAAACTTTTTAAATCAGTATTTTTTTTATCAATATATTTTATTTTTCGACAATTTCTTGATAATTATCATGGATATATTGGTTTTGAGATCTACTTCTTCGAAGCGTCATTTTTCCAACTTTTTAAAAAGTAGTCATTTGCAAGACAATATGTAATAATTTTTTTAAAATTACAATGTATTTTGGTAGAGAAATGTTGTCAGCTTGCATCCATGCATAAATTTTAATTTTACACTTTCAACAGGATTGTGAAGCTTAAAAACAAAATGGTGTGTTCTTGGTGTTCGATCTTGGTGTTTTTTCTTTATGCATTTTTTGAAGTTAATGTTCGGTTTTCAATGCCTATTTTTAATTCTTTCTAAACTACATTTAGGATTTTAATAGAAAACTATTGTGATTTTAAGGGCTAGTATAGACATTGAAGTTTCAAAGTTATTGACCGTTCTGTTTCCAATAGTCATATAAGAAATTTATAATTATAATTACAGTAATACCCGCGATATATGTGTACATATAAAAATATTTAAATATTTATATTAACAAAAAACTGAAGAGAAAATTAATAATATTTCTGTGTTTGTGTAATATCGTGTGTACACTTGTCTTAATTTCGCGCTGAAAATAAACACTTGTTACTTAGATAGTTAAATAAAATTACAGGGGAGCATTTTTCAACAGATAGTAAATTTATCAAGGGTCTTTAAAATATATCGCCATTGAAAATCTGACACTTTACGGACCAACTACCTTAATGCGAGATGTGACGGTGACGGATTCTGTGAACCGAGTCCGATACAAAAGCATCGAAGAACCTTTTGACGGAGGACCGACGAAAGCTTGCCTGTCGCCGTCTGGACGAATAATGTGAAATCCAGAACCAAAGCGTATCGCCGTCTCCCGCGGCGATTTACTTGCCGTGGTCGCGACGCGTTTTACGTGGCGCGTTTCTCAAAGGTATCCTCGCGTGAACGGTCACACGGTTGATGTACATATCGTTAATTCCGCGATAAGATGCGCATCGGTACGCTTACATATGTAAGGAGCATGTACGCTTATGTAATCATACGCACACCATCGTCGCTCTCTCGGTAAGCTCCCACCGTGACGCTGATTATCCCGAGCTCCGATTAGACAGCGCGCTAAGATAATAATCTTCGGGCACTTTAAGTACCGGCGGTGTTTGCTGATTTATCTGCCGACGCATCAAACACCGGCTAGTCGAGGGCCGAATACCGCCGGTCCGGGATAACAATCCGGAAACTTAAGCGATGCAGTTTTGGATTAGGCTCGGAGGAAGCTCGGTCTCGACACTGTACAGTGGCGGGAGTCGGAGATTTGTTCGGGGGATGATTAGCAGGCGGATTATCGCGGTGCTCGAATCGGTACCATTGTTATATCGAAAGAAGGGAGAATAGGTTTCTCAAGGGCCGGATAAGACTGGATATCGCGGGTATACGCGGGGGAGAGCGGGGCACGTTCGCAACCCTCTTAAGTCGAATCAGTGAGAATGTCTTGGCTGACTTAATCGGCAAATGCACCCCCCAACCGCTCATTTATACTCGATTTCAGTCATTTTGTGAATGACTATTGTTGGCGGGGAAACAAGAGCCTGAGGATGTTGCACTCATAAGTGAAAACAATGAAAAATTGTGAAAAAATTACGAATTAATCTACGTCATACTTAAAAGTGACGCCGAGAGTTTGACGGTAATTCAGAGTCTATATCAAAGGTTATTCCATTTTAAAGAGGTTGTAAGGTGAAATAAGCTTCTCGAGCAAGTATATTGTATATACGTCTATCTAAAATTCGTTTCAAAAATTCACATCCATCACTTAAGTAATAAAATCAATGTATCGGAACGTAATTTTGTTTGATAAATATTAAACTTATGAGCGGCTCTCTTAATGCGTCGCTGAGAACGCGACACTGATGGATGATATATCGTTAGGTCAGACATTTCCCGTTTTCAGGTACACATAAATTTGTCCGAAAGCAACGCAGGGAAAAATAGCCGGTATCCGGGAAAGAATATTTCGCGCCTCTCTTTCCACCGTTCCTCTCACGGTACAACATAAACAAAGCGTGCAATTTCCTTGCCCTTCTTGCGAGGCAATAGACGGGGTCTCCTCTATCGAGTCATTAGCCGGTCGAGTTCTCCCTGCGATTCGATTACGGACGACGATTGCGCCTCAACCGTCCGAGGATCTCACTCGTGACGGCCGGTTCGCTGGCACGCGTGTTGTCCTTCGATTACCTTCGGATTCTCGTCCGTACTAACGAACGGTGTTCCGTTGTATTCCAGGTCGACCTGCGGCATCTCGCCCAGACCGAGGACTCGAATGAGATCGCCGTCGGGATCGACCTGACCGACTATTATATCTCCGTCGAGTGGGACATAATAAAAGTGCCTGCCACGAGAAACGAGGCGTACTACATATGTTGCGAGGAGCCCTACCCCGACATCGTGTTCAACATCACCCTGCGCCGCAAGACCCTCTTCTACACGGTGAACCTGATAATACCGTGCGTGGGCATATCCTTCCTGTCGGTGCTGGTGTTCTACCTGCCGAGCGACAGCGGCGAGAAGGTCTCCCTGTCGATCTCGATACTCCTCTCGTTGACGGTGTTCTTCCTGCTGCTGGCCGAGATAATACCGCCCACGTCGCTGACGGTGCCGCTGCTGGGCAAGTACCTGCTCTTCACGATGGTGCTGGTGACGCTGTCGGTGGTCGTCACGATCGCCGTGCTGAACGTGAACTTCCGCTCGCCCGTCACCCACCGCATGGCCAGGTGGGTGAAGGTGGTGTTCATCCAGGTGCTGCCGCGGTTCCTCTTAATCAAACGACCGAAGAAAGACGAGGACGATGACGAGGAAGACGGCAGGGACGCCGCCGGCATCGGCAACGGCGGCGAGATCGATAACGACGGCGTCGACGACGACGAGGACGACGACGAGGACGATGTCGAGACGGCGAACGGCAAGCCGCCCGAGGGCATCCTCACCGATGTGTTCCATGTACAAGAGACTGATAAGTACGATCCGTACTACGGCAAGCGGTTCAGCGGGGAGTACGAGGTGCCGCCGCACGGCCTGCCACCGGCGGCGACCAGGTACGACCTCGGCGCCGTCGGCACCGTCGGACCCTGCTTCGGGGAGCCACTACCCTCGCTGCCACTGCCCGGGGCGGACGACGACCTCTTCGGCCCGGCTAGTCCCGGCTATCCTCACGAGGACGTCAGCCCCACGTTCGAGAAGCCGTTGGTACGCGAGATCGAGAAGACCATCGACGACGCCCGCTTCATCGCCCAGCACGCCAAGAACAAGGACAAATTTGAGAGCGTGAGTACAGAGTCTCCCGCTTGTCACCTTTCTTCTCCTCCTCCTCCTCCTCTTGTCGTTCCTGCAGCGTCTTCGGTGGCGATTGCAAGGGTATCGGCTTGCCGCCTCGAGAGACGCTCGCTTCGAGCTGTCGCCATCGCGAGGCTGAAAACACCGCTGTCAGTATAATCCGGGCGTTTCGGTACCCGGGTAATAGCCCTGGGTCTGGGCCTTTCGGGATTACCGGTCTCCCGTATTTATGGATATTACCCCGAAGCTGAAAATAATAACGGGTAAATAAAGTTACGAATTTAAGCAGTACGTGCGTTCGTTATTCGTTATTAGTCATTTTTTATGTCTGAAGTTAATCGGACACTCAGTTACCTGGGTATCTGAGTAAAACTTGACGAGTCTCGGTTATCCAGGTACCCCGGCTACTCAGATGGTCGAAGTTGACAGCACTACTTGAAAGCAGTCTCGCGATAATCGTATATACGGGAAGAATATTATTTTGTTTTATAAATTCTTTTACATTTTTTCATTCTCGTTTACTGTATTTTTTAGCTTCCCCTTTTCCGCAAATGCAATTTTGTCATATTTTCTCTATATAGTAGCGCGGGAATAGACTGTCAGCTTACCTTACTGAGAAACAAAGTGAGTTTGTTTAATAATAGACCTTAGTTCCCCTAAAAAGTAAGTAGCACGTATGAAACGGGTTGGATGAATAAGTTAGCACATTCGCTACCACACGGTAAAAAATTGTGCGTTAGAAACGGTTCACTGAAATTTTCTGTTACTTTAACACGGGGATTACGGTTCATTTTGAGAACCGCCACCACAGACTGCCCTGTATTTTTTACGCATGGCATGTTATGTGCAGCGTAAAACACAAAGTTTTAGTTTACGTTTACGCGGACACAGAGAGAAAAATAATCGCCGTCACACGTACGTCACATCGGTCTCTTACGAGAGATGACACATGTATGACGCTGGCGAACGTACTAAGACGGGATATCGACATGTTTTTCCTCGGTTAGAAAATTCTACGGTAATTTTTACCGGAAAATTCTCCTCGCGCAGAGTTTCACGGGGGGAGAAGGATCTTCTCGCGTTTCATCGCGAGACGCTTCGCAGTGGAGGTCTGATCGCAATAAACGCGTCGCCGATGCGTTCCGTGGACGACGATAACGCGATGAAATATATTCGTCTGTAATATCGCGAGGATGGATTATTTTCCATCGAGGCACGCGCGAATTGAGGATGATAATTTATTTATCGAGGATCTCTACGCGTGTCCGGGAGAGTCTTGGGGCGATTTTTCGCGGTGCGACGCCTTCCGAATTGTAATCCCGTGTCGTCGCCGCACATTCGTATGCGGCTGTGCGACTAAATTACTCCGCGCATACGATTTACGTAGCTTGACCCGGATTCCTGCAGTTTAGGCGGATCGAGAACGGTCTCTCGCGGTATATAAGATTTTATAGCGTCTAACGTAGCCACGATCCGCCCCACGATTCTCGAGCGCGCGTACTCGGGAGATTTGGAAATCTCCTTCGTAAAATCGAGGAAGCGTCAACTCTGTCGGTCGCGACCGGTAGAGACCGGTAATCCACGGCGACGTCGGCGTGAAATAATGGAAAGGAGGCGGCGAAAGTATCGAGGGAGGATCGAGTTAAACAAACGGTAAGTTTCCGCGGGCTCCGTTGCCGAGTCGAAATTTCAACGCTACTTAGACTTAGATGGCTTAATAAGAACCTACTTCGACGATACTGATATTTATTATCTTCTTTTTTGAACTTTTAAGGTGGTAAGTTTATTTTCTTAGGAATCTTTTTAAATTTTGACGATATATTTAATTGAAACGCAGTCTACACACATGCAAAATTAGGGAAAGATTGACTGTACCGAAGCTGAGTCGATGTCAAAGTTGGCGCTATCAGCACGCATAACACATTGAAAGAAAAAATAGCTATTTTCGGGGACAATAATATCCTTTTTTCATTTTAACCACAAAAATAGTCGAGAGAAAACTATTTTTCTAGTAAGTGTTAATATAGTGTCAGTGATAATAAGTTTACGTGCATGTTGCTGCTATTATTTTTTGTGATTAAAATAAAAAAAGGACATTGTTATCTCCAAAAATAATTATATTTTTCTCTCAGTGTAAATACGAAAACGGCTTTCAATATGACGTTTTTAATTCTACCGACCAAATTACTTTTACAGTTTTAATGAAAAATGAGAAGACTGTATAAGAGACTTATAGGAATATTAAAAAAAAGTTACAAGATCTTTAACTATCTATTAGGTTGGTGCGTATGAAATGTCGCATTCTCTTTACATGCGGACGTTTTCCTCTCTGTTTTCGTTATACTTTTGTATTTGGCATAACCTCATTCATACTCGTATTGTCCATTGCCAGAGACTCATTTCAACAAAATAGGTTTTCTCGAAGGTCTTCCCTTTTTTATTTCTTTTGAGTTTATTACCGATATGAATTCTGCCGACATTCGCGTCATTTTCTTATATGAGTACAAACTTGGTAATAGTGCTGCAAAAGCTGCACGCAACATAAACCAAGCGTTTGGGGAGAATACGGTTAACAATCGGAAAGTGCAGCGTTGGTTCGAAAAATTTCGGACTGGCGATTTTTCACTGCAAAATGAGCCGCGCGGAAGACCCAAAACGTCTGTGAATAATGATGACCTGAAGGCTCTAGTGGAAGCGGATCCAGCCGTATCCACGAGGGAACTTGCTATCAGGATGAAAGTTGACCATACAACGATATTGAGACACCAAATTGTACTCCCATCGCTTGTGAATCGGCATGGCCCGCTACTGCTCCATGACAACGCTCGGCCGCACACATCGCACAAAACAATTGCGAAACTGAACGAACTGGAATATGAAGTTTTGCAGCATCCACCATATTCACCGGATCTCTCGCCGACCGATTTTCATTTTTTCAAGCATTTAGAGCTGTTTTTAAGAGGCAAACACCATGAAAATGAAGACAGTCTAAAAAACTCGATATCAGAGTTTATTAATTCTAAAGACCAAAATTTTTTTAAGACAGGCATCTACGCTTTAAAATCTCGTTGGGAGAAGTGTATTGAAGCGAATGGAGCATACTTTGATTGAATAAACAGCTTTTGAAGAAAGATATACAGTTTTATACAATCACTTAAGAATCCGACATTTCATATGCACCAACCTAATAGTTTTCCAGAAATTGATATGTAAAATTTCACGATTCCTGATAACGGTTGAAATATTTGACGGTTAACTTGTAAAGATTTGGCAATATTACGTGCTATATTTCCCTTTGTGTCTCTTAGCTTAGACATTTTTTTAAAGATAGCATTTAAATGATCTCTATCGCTATAATCAGTATGTAAAAATGCGAAAAATGAAAAATAAGGAAAATCCGATGTCACTTGCTATCTTAGTTCTTACTGTATTATAGACTCAAAGATTTGTCACAGGATCGAGATTTTGACTCGTGTTCCTTTTCGTTCGCGCGTCCCTTCGCTGAGATTCACCGTGCGATTTTTTTCGCAATACAAATTTGCAAATTCGCCGAGAACAAGGCGCAGCCGTGATGGGAAATGCTTTCGTCCGCGAAACGAGAGCGTCGATGGGAATATCTGGCCGTGTATGATTTATAGAGAACGCGTACATCGTTCTCTCTCCCGTCTTCGCGTGCGGGTTACTCTGAATTCTGGTCTTCGGTTAAATTGAAATCTCGCTGTTCCGGATACGGCTTGATTTCCGGATACGCAGTCTGCCAGAGCGGATTCTCGGATATCCGGACGCCGTAGCCCGAGCCAAGCGAGCTCAATGAAGCTTCGGTTTAAGACCGAACGCCGACGTCGCGCACATAACTTATTTGCGCAAAGTATATGCCGGGGAACGCACTGCGGCAAAGCGCCGTTCACTGCCAAATATGCCCGTTTCGCGCGAAGTATACCAAAAAAGGAAAAAAAAAAAGTGATACAAGATGTGTATTCTGTAGGCACTAATAACATATTTATTTAAATATCGATTCTTTCATTTCAGTTGGACCCACAACTGGTTTCGTGAAAAAACAATAGCTATACAAAAAATAAAGCTATAGATTTAAGAAAATGTACGCATTGAAAAAAGCGCTGCCGTCCAAGTAATATTTGCTCCAAGTAAAATGATTAATATTCCTTGGCAAATATTTACCAAAAGCAGAAATAATTGGCTACATACGATATCTTTTTTTTCGTCTAAGTAGACTGTAGTTGACTTGCACATGTTAAAACAATTACAACAAGCATTAAATTCATAATATTGAGGATGGTCAGGATTTATATTTAGAAAATATTCACTACGGACGGAAAAATCGAAGTTTAAAATCATTCGATTTTTTCAATGAAAAAGAAGTATTACATAATTCTAATAAATATTTAAATAATTTCTCAAATTTAGAAACACTTTACATTTACTTGAGCCTTTAATTCTACGACATAGTAGGAGATAAGATAGCAAAATAGGTTCACAATTTCAATACCAACGATATAATATAATCCCTACTCTTTGATTCCGACGATGCTTTGAATTTCCGCTTTCACTTTTAGCGTCAAAATCCGTTGTTGAAGGTAGCATTAAAGTTTAAGCTATAGAATTCAAGAGGTAAGTCAAAAAGTATCAGTACCGCCAAGGTAGATTTTTATTAATCTATATATCTATATATAGGTCGTCTAAGTAGGCGCAAACTATCCTTAACCCTGCTGTTCCGTTCGAGCCTGGCCCGAAATCAATTTTACTTCCCCGTTACATTTTTACATGATTTTATGTGACACGAGCGAGCATTCTGACATTTCACGACTTTGCTTCACAGCTCAAGAACATTAATTTGAAACTGAGCTATGAAACAAAGTTCGTACAAACCGAAACCGTAGAAAAATTTAACAGGGAAATAAAAATGATTTCTGGTCAAACAGATCCGGACAGAACAGCGGGATTAAGAATATCAGCGTGACGTCCAAATCTCGTCCCGGGTACGAGAGCGCACGCGGACGCGTGGGTGCGTGCGTGTGTGCGTGCGTGCGCACGCTCCGACGAAATAACGCTTCGCCGAGTTTCTTTTCTCGCGCGATTATTTGCCGTATCACACCGTATCGACAAATTCCGTATCAGCGGATTGTTTTGAGCCGTGCGTGCGCAACAATGCACGCGAATACACCTATTACGGTACGGTGAACGGCATTATGCGCTTATCGCCTGTGTATACACGCGCCGCCATATAATATAATAATAAGATACCCACGCACGCACACGCTTACAAGTGTGTTCGTAACTACGCGAGTATGCAAATGCGCTCGTGTACGGCCGGAGAAGAAGAGAGGAAACGCTGCGACGTAGCCAATCCCCGTTGATGCAGCCAAGTTTTCGGCTCGATTCGGTGGAACCGCATAATGCCGCTTACATCTCGCCGCATGAAGCCCCATGATCGGGGCCGAAAGAGACCTTTCACGCGGATAAAATGTGACAAACGGGGCGAGACGTCGTTGCCCCGACGGGACGCCGTGAGGGATACACGCCGTTTTCCTACGTTATACATTAGGGGGTTCCCTCGCCGATCCTTCTCTCTCTCTCTTTTTTTCCTCACACACCGCCGGTTAATCGAATTAATCGGCCGCTGATCCGGAAAAGCGAGATCACGCGCTAAAAGGGCCCTCAAGGTAAAGGGACGTTTCCACGGGTCTCGCGACTAGTTCAGCAGAAAGGGACAGGGGGTTACGTGGCGAGAGAGAGAGAGAGAGAGAGAGAGAGAGAGAGGTGCGGGAAGGGAAAAACGGCAACGAAATGGCAGGCGTGTAGGGTAACGCGTTCGGTGCATCGTCCTCGTGAAAGTATCATAAAAGTATCGGGTGACTGTTTTATCGTCTAGCTGCTGCACTCGTCGCACTGGGAATCCAGGGAAGTCAATACACCCTTACAACACTCGCGAGGCAAAAGGGGTGAGAGGTAAATCGATTGTCTCCTTCTCTCGTGTTTGCCGCAGGCAGACACACAATTTTTGCCGAATAATATAATGTATCATGCTAATATAGCATAGCTAGAGAGACACTCGTACCGAGGCTAAAATTGATATGTGCCAGCTGTAAACGAACAGTTCGATTCGATTTTTTTCATCCGATGGCACACAAATTTACCATACGGTAAGGCAAGGAAATGTAAGAAAAGTGACAAATGTCCCACACTGATACATATGAATTTTCGGACGCTGCAGTTCCGACCGCTCGTTGTTTCTAACGCGTATGAGAACAAATTTTACCTGCGGTAGTAACTGTTGTCGACGGCGGAAGGATGGGATATTCGTTGCGTTTTAGCGCAGCGATGGGCAGTCGTAACCGTGACGATCGCGTTGCATAGCTTGCCATTATCTACAAAGTAACTGTTGCGCAAATAGAACTGTGATTTTATTTCTAGGCTGTTTTTATCAGGTTTGTCAGAAAAATGACCGTCGTGACCTGTTTTCTTTAAATTCCGTAGTAGAATTGATTGTCCATGATTAGTCCTCGTTTGTCCGGCCATTATTGGACTTTTTTGTCCATCAAGCCGAACGAATTGTTAACAAGTGAATCTAAGAAAACATACATTGACCGTTGTGTGCCATGTAACCACTTTTGTTTCCCGAAATTCAAATTTTGCTCTTCATTAAATTTTTACTATAGGTTCAATATTTATAACCTATAGAGAAGAGGCATAATAGATAAACAAGCTAATTTTTGACAAATTATTTGAAAAAAAACCTTGTATTCATGATTTTTTACAGCTATTTTCTTAATTTTTTAAGAATGAAGGTCACTTTTCTTACTATTTTTTACAGCTAAACCGCTTCTATGTCTGATGATTTTTTATTATTAATATTGAAGTATAATTTAATTAACTTTTCAAATCTTCATCAGCAATAAATTAATGCATAATATACAGAAAGATGTATTTCAGTGCGGGGGTGTTTTTTCGCGCATATTTCAAAACTATTGAAAAAGTTCCGTACTTCCTGGGAAGAAATTGCTTCTGCGTGCGGTTTTATTCTTTGCTCTATGAATTTTCCATACATCCTTGACATTTTTTCGGCATTATTAGTATATCCTAACCAAGCCAGACTATCTTGGCACATCTTCGAACCTTCACGAAAAGCTTGAAGAGTTTTTCTCTTCGCGGAAAATTCTTTGCGTGCGCGAACACGATGTCAACGAGCTGACGAGCGATGCCTGCTTCGAGGACGTCCTCGCGGCCGGAACACCCGGAAACGTAACGAAACTCTGCGTCTCACGGAGTGCTCCAGGTCGCGGCGGGAGGAGTAACGGATACGCCCGGCGACGAGTTGTTGATACTAAACATGCGCGGCGAACGTTCGATACGGAGAGAGGAGGACCTCTCTCACTCTCTCTCTTGCTCCGATCTTTTTACGAGATCCACCGACAAACAGGACGTTATCGTGCGCGCATACGACGCACATTCCCCTCGATTCCGCTCGTTGCGGCTGGCGAGGGAGGAAGAGAGAGGCAAGGGACAAAAATCTATAATCGAATTGGAGCCTCCTCGGAGGAGCCTGCTATTCTCGCACAGTAAAAAATTTTGTATTAAATTTAACACACTTCACATGTCCCAAACGGTCCATTTAAATTTCCGTGCTAATTTAATCCAAGGTGAATATGCACGAAAGTAACGCAAATATTATGTCAAAAATTCACATAAAATTATAATACGACAATCGACGCTGAAGTACAAAATATGTTATTTTAATATTTACACATGTTGAATGTCGCCTCAACACAGAATGTTGACATAACGAACAAACGTAATATGTTAAATTAATAAACGGATAGGGGAGATCGTAGGGGAGACACTGCAAATCCAAGTGTGTTATTTTAGCTGAGGCTTTTTTTATGCGTTTTTTGCCATCTTTCATCTCGTCAGTTAAACGATCGGAGAACGTGTTAACTTAACACGTCGTAATTTAACGCGATAACTTAATACGATTAAACGTTTTAAATGACGTAAGCTAAATCAGCGAAAAATATGTGAGAACAGCTTCAGTCATATGTGTCATTTCGAGATGTTTCGGCGTGTAAAAATAACACACTTGGATTAACCCCGGTATTAACCACTTGAATGCAGCCCCGGTAGCCTCGCCTATGTTAAAAATTTAACACAAAAGTTTGAACAATGACCGATTCTAACGAAAGTATACAATATTTTTTGCCGTGTGGTCTTTATCGCCATAAATGTTCGCGTTTCATTACCCGGAGGATGATTGGAGCGCCCGATAATCCTCCCCTTCCTCCCACCCTTTGATGATCTAACTAACCACGTACGTGTCCATTGTGGTCTGTTCCCAGGTCGAGGAGGACTGGAAGTACGTAGGGATGGTGCTCGATCGGATCTTCCTGTGGGTCTTCACGTTGGCCTGCGTGATCGGCACGATGCTGATCATCTTGCAGGCGCCGAGCCTCTACGACACCACGAAGCCGATCGACATCAAGTACAGCAAGATCGCCAAGAAAAAGATGATGTTGTTGAACTTGGCAATCGAGGAGGACTAGTCGACGATCCCGCGCGGCTTCGTGCCGCGTCCATCGTGGCGGCCGGCCCATCGTCGTCGGCGCCGACGGCATCGTTCGCGTCGTCGTCATCGTTGTCGTCGCCGCCGCCGCCGCCGCCGCCGCCGCCGTCGTCGTCGTCGTCGTCGTCGTCGTCGTCGTCGTCGTCGTCGTCGTCGTCGTCGCTATCGTCGCCGTCGCCATCGTCGTCGTTGTCGTCGTTGTCGTCGCCGTCGTCGCCGACGACGTCGATGCCGTTCACCGCGGCCGCCCATCATCGAAACTGCCGATTTTCGCGTCGACGTGGAAGAGAACCCTCTCTCGATCGCTGGTGCTAAAAACATGTGGTCCCGGGTAACTACTCCGTAGATGGACGCACGAGAGCGAGAAGGAGGATACGATACGAGCGGATCACGGCTAAATCCGCGGAGTAGGATATACATTCCCCTCCTCGAAGAGGCGGATCTCTGTTGAACTCTAATCCGACCACCCTTCAGGATGGAGATAAGGGCGTGCGACCGCATGTACACGGGAGTAAGGGCTTGCGCGAGATAAAAAGAGAGAGATAGAGAGAGAGAAAGGGAGAGAGAGTGAGAGAGAGAGAGAGAGAGAGAATGAAATAGTGAGATAGAGAACGAGCGTGTGTTGTGCCGTGTATGCGTGTGGAAAAGACGAGGGGGTGAGTATGGAAGAGAGGATGAGAAAGCGAGAATGAAAGAGCAAGAGAGAGAGAGAGAGAGAAAGAGAGAATGGAAGGATGAGCGAGAAACAGGACAAGCAGCAGGAGGTGGAGGAGGAAAAGGAGGTAGGGCGAGAGAGAGGTGAAAAAGTGCCAAATACGCGAAAAACACGCGCACCGTATTTTTGTAAATCTGGTTTCATACGTAAGGCTAGAGTCGTGCGGCGAGACGTCGAACTGCCCGAACTGCCGATTTTATATAAGAAGACGTTTACAGCGCGCGCGAGGAGATGCGTAACACCGCGAGATACACGCAGAATTCACACTTATACATCCACACGCGTTTGGCATAATACATATAATACGTACATGTATACCAGCACCAAGTATCATCTATACGCGGCATACTTACAATATATTGATAATACACACGTATGGACACGCGCGTGTATCTTTTGGCACCCACCCACACACACACACACACACATACACGCGCACGCACACACATAAACACAAACACCGTGGAACAAATTTCTCACGCACGCGTTCGCGTTGATACGGCGAGGGGGGGAGGAGGAAAAAAATCTCTCTTTGTACACATATAATATATCAGACGCGCGTCTCGGGGGACTTTCGCGCACGCTTCTTTGATACCTTCGCGTTCTCGCCTCGTCGAAGATCCGACGACGAGCCTCGAGTCGAGTTGCGCAGGCGACTCCGCGACGATCGCGCCCCGATTTTCAGCGATTTCCGCCGATGACTCGCCGCGAATCATTACACCGGCTTGCTCCCGCCACGGATATCGATCGACACTTGATTCGGATATCGCTCACCGCCGTTATCGACGCGAGAGCGATCTGACATTCGAGTAATTTACACGAGCGGCCAATCATAGAAGCAAATTATTCCGCCGATCGATTATTCCGACGTATCGAGTGGCTCGGACAGCGTTCGAGCACCTGACGAGAGATTCGCGGCATGACCGCGGGAATAATTGATTGGCAAAATAATTTGCGAAGCCTCCGCTCGCCGGCTTGTCCCGTAATTCATGTCGTAATTAATGACGGCTTTCGGACGCACCCCTCCCCCCTCCCGGGGTGGTGTCTCGCACCTTCGCCGGTGAACGCGCGAAAATCCGGCGTAGGGGAGACCGAAAGTGACGGGAGGAATAATCAAATTGAACAACAGCAAGAACAAAGTAACCAACTATTTACAAACAACTGCCAATTTTCAACGCGGTATCTGTCTAATCTATCTAACCACAGCTCGTCGTCGAGAGAACGATCGTAGTAGCGGGGTAGCGCGGTCGGGGCTGGCTTCGAACGGGGATCGATAGGGCGGATGAATAGGACGAATAATGGTAATAGACTCCTCTCCGTAACGCGCCGAAAAGCGACCTCGGCCCACGTGAGCCAACAGCCCTTGCGGAGGCTCGATCGAAGGACCTCGTCGTTTCTTGCTCGGCTTTGCGACACTCTTGTCCCGGAGAGAGAGCCGATCCTCACCGGAAGTCTCGCTGTTATCATTACAAGTGCTATTCATCCCGGAGCCCGCTCGCCCGGCACGGTGAGTGCAACTTTTCTAATCACGTGGTACCCGAGCCGGTCGCCTAACGACCGAGTCGCGAATTCGAACCACCCAGGATGCCCGCGATCTGCAATAAGTCGTCGAGCCTTGCGTGTCCGTGGACGATAAGGAACGAGGCGTCGTCGGTGACGAAGACCGGGGGAGCTCCGTGTTGTTCGCGCGGAAATATCGAACGGTCAAAGAGCGTCGAAATCATCGGGGGTCGCGCCTCGTCGTAGTTCGTTTCTTCCCCGGCTTCCTCTCTCCTCGGTCGCACCGACCGACATCGAGGCACAGCGCGGCAATTTCCTCTTTCTTCCGGCTGTATCGTGTGTACCGCGGATCGATACAGACTGCATAGTTACCGGAGGAAAAAAGGAAGTCCGGGTGAGACAAACGAAAGAGAGAGAAAGAGAGAGTGCGTGTGCATATGCGTGTGTATGTGTGTGAGGGAGAATGTGAAGGAGAGAGGAAGGAGAGAGACGAGACGGTGGCGGCGCCGAGGAGTGCGAGACGTACTTTCGTCCGAGAGAGCATCCTAACGTTTCGCGAGGGTGTTAACAGGGGCGAAATGACGGGCGACGGGAAACGTGAAACACGAGAAGGAGCCCATCTCGGCGGCAGCCCCCTCGCGTAAGGCCGCGGGATAACAGTCGGAGACGACGAGGTCTCGTGAGGGTTGTTTCGCGGAGGGAAAATCGAACAGGCTTTTTTGACGTCGACATGGCGGGGAGGGGGGGACGCAGGACGTAATTAAGCCCTCATTGGAGATCAAGCACACACGGAACACCGCGACACGCGCGTGCTCACACACGAAACACGCATCCCCACACGTACCTACGCGCACTACGTTAAAACTTACACACACACACACACATACACGGAGACTTGTACGCACACGGAGAACGGAGACGCATTCTATCCATGCATCCGTACACACATGACATTATTACATACGTACGTACGTACACACGTTGTTTATACGCCGACAAGGGACGAGAGGTGGCGAGGGTCGAGGGGGCGGTAGGTCGCTCGCGTGACCCTCGCCGGCGATATAATAATCAATTTATTTGCTCACGTAAAAAGTAATCGTATGATATATTTCATATGTGCAATAGGTGTAAAGAAATTAATTACATATTAATTGATTAATTGTACAATCTGTGCGAGAGAGAAAGAATGAACGAGGGTGAGAGTGAGAGCGAGCGAGGGAGAGAAAGTGTGCGAGCGAGAGAGAGCGAGTGAGTCCGAGTCGAAGAGGGAGCGAGCGAGGGAACGGGGGAAGGGGAGAGGGACACTTCTCTGACACTCGCCGAGCCGTGTGAAGCCGCGTGCGGTGGTGATTGTTGGACGGTGACAGGTGGGGCTCTCGATGTGGCCGGCTGCGAATCGCTGACCGGATCGAGGATCGAGATACACGTGTCTCTGTGCGCAAAAACGTGCGGGCGGGAGGGGGTGAGCCGATCGTACCGAAGGATCCAATTTAGCGGGATTCTCTCTTTCAACGGCAAAAGGGCCCAGTTTGCAAGAAGGGTGGGAAAGGAAGACGAGAGGAAATAGAGGTGGGCGACACATATAGAGAGAAAGGAGGGGAGGGAAGACAGAGAGAGAGAGATGAGGAGCCTCCATAATCACCGCCCTTCAGTCTTTTTTTTCTTACCGATCGCTAAAGGGATTAACTTTCCTACGCGGAAAAGGTGGCAGGCTCGGCAATTAATTAAAGCGCGTCGGCTACGGCGGACAAAGGGAGAGCGGATGGAGGAGGAGGAGGAGGCCGGCCATCGAAGACGAGAGAGAGAGAGAGCGGCAATCGGCAGGAGACTCGTGGCACCGAGTTCCGCACGCGTTCATACGCATATATACACACATACATCTATACACACACACAAGGTGTACACAAGGCGGAAAAAGGACCGAGGAGAATCGGTCGGGTGAGGCTGCAGAGTGGCTTCGCGAACAATGGCGGCGGGTGAGCCGAAAAAACGGCTGTATAACGCAAAAAGAAGGACAACAACGACTTCGTCGGTGTCCGGCGTTATCGTCGTTAATCGCGGCCGATGCGCGCTTTTTACGCGCCAGCCCTATTCGTTGGGCGGTTCGTCAGTGAAAGATCTCTCTCGAAATCGAAGTTCGGTCGATCGAGCGCGATCGATCAGTCGATCGATCAATCGTGCCCCGGTCTGTTCCCGTTCGTGCGAGCGTATCCGGCGACACGCGGCTGCGGTATGGAGCGATAGTGCGCCATCTTTCGGGAAAATCCCGGCGTGTCGGGGAACGCGCTCGTAAGGAAGAATGCTCGCTCGCAAACCGAAGTAACGGGGCGCATGCGCGACGTGGCTTCCCATGTAGAAGATTATAAATATTTAAGGTGCGATATGTATCGCGCGCGACGCGCCGGTTAAAATTAACGAGACGCGCGTTCGTCCCACCGACCCTTTGACCACCGGCCAGGACGTCAAGGATGAGTTGGCTCTCTCGTCAAGACGCGTTCCTTTTTCCGGGGCGGACGTGCGCGGATCGGAATAAATCGCCGGTCGAGGCCGGGAGGGAGAGGGGAACGGTACAAGCGAGTTGTTAGCTACCTCCGTATTACGTCAAACGGTGTTTGTCACACGAGCGAGCGCAACACGAAGCTCATTTTCGTACCGGCGCGTCATCGAGAATTGGTCGGAGCTGGGAAGAGAGAGAGAGAGAGAGAGAAGTGGGCGAACGAGAATAGAAAGGAGAAAGAGATGCGACCCGATTTCCCCGGCTGCGA